TAAGGTAAACGTACCTTTTGCCATACGTAGCGATCGGTTTTCCGTTTGCCGCCTGTAAGTTTAGGGTCGATTCGCGAAGTCGGTCGTTAGGATTCGCTGGGAGAACGCTAACTTCTGCGCCAGTGTCGACGAGGTAGCGAACTCTCGTTGTCACATCTGTGACGTATAACAGACGGCTTTGTTCGCCGGCTACGGTTGCCGTTAACACGTGCCGGCTTGGAAGTTTCCCGAATTGCTTTTCGAATCAGTCGGTTTCGTGTTGGGAAAATTGCAGGGTTTTCTGCAATTTCTGGAAAACTTTCCATACTGGTTATGATACCAGCACCAGTCGGGGTTATCTGTCTCTCGTGGTCTAGAGACAGATCGCTTACGTGAAATGCTTCTACTTGGTGTGCGCGATCTCTTACGGTCGGTACGAAGACTAAGATAACGCGTGAGTGTGTGACATAAGTCGGTTATATCATTCTGAGTCGTGTGAGGCTTTTCTTTGACTGAAAATACCTCGGTAGTAGAAGGTTTCGTAATTTCTAAAATGCGGTCGGCAGATGCAGCTAGCTCGTCTAAGGCGTTGTTCTGGAACGAGACCAGAACTGCTTGCACCTGTTGGGGAAGTTTTGACAAGAAGAGTTGTTTGAATAGACCTTCGTCGAAAGTTCTTGGGCCTATTACCTCTCTCATCCGTTGCAACATGTCCGTCGCAGAACCGTGTTGCAGGTCGATATTGTTGAAGAGTTGATCTAACCTTTGTCGATCGGTTAGGTCTCCTCGTTTAAGAATCGAGCGTTTTAAGATTTCGTAAGGATCGGAAACATCACTAGTAAACATACTAGGTGTTACGTACCTGTTGAATTCGCGCGGTAGTGCCTTGACTACTGCGAGGAATTGTGCACGTGTGTCGATCACGCCGTGCTCGTGGAAGTCGGCTTCTGCGTAGCAAAACCAAGCTTCGATGTTGTCGGGCCAGAAAGGCATCAGTTGAAACGAAGGTGGGGACAAGGTCTTAAGCTTGAGTACTTTAGGTGTCTGTTCAGTCATGATGAAATATGAAGTACGATAATGAACGAGGGGAAAATATATATGTATCCAAGAAAAAATACGAAAAAAAAATCACAATGTTTAAAAAAGAATAAGAAATTAGGCAATGATATATAAAAATCCCAAAAAGGAACAGACTCACAGTTGCAAATAGGTGTACCAGATCACGTCGGGCTCACCAATGATGATGTCACAGGTATTCAGTGTTTGACAACGCTTCTACCAGTAACACCTTCTAATGTATTTCGTTCCCACCCAGAGAAATCAAAAGACAGAGTCGGAGAGATCGGAAGAGTATATTTGGCGATGACCAATATATCGGAATTCTCTGATCTAATCTGGCTAGCGATTGCGGCTGATGTTGAGCACGGCGTTACCACACGTGATCTGGTGCGGATGCATGACCGAGCGCCTTCAGCTAGATGAGTCCACTAAAACATATGGTCAGCATCCAATGTCGAAAACTTTGGGCTATTTATTTTGGGGATTTATTTACCGCTACAAGATGTTACCTTTATTTATAACAATTTCCTCAATGATCAATCTTTTTAAAATTATCAGGTCAAACCTTGACATTGATACCTACGAAATATCATTTATTATGACTTACAGAAATGCAGGAAATAATAAACACTGCACCAAATAATAACGCGCTCAGTAGATGTTATGTTAATGTGACCGTGCATACGCTCTCTAGCAAGCAATATGTTAACAGAATTAAGCATTTTCAGGAATTTTGTTGATTTTTCACAGGGCAAGTGCAACATATAAATGCATAATATTTTAATAAGAACTCCAATTCAACCTTTAGCTTTCATTATATATTTGATTTTTACACCTGGCGATTCGTAATACGCAGTAGATCACCAGCGTAGGTGACTATGTCGAATGGTTGGGGGCATAACGTGGATTACAACCTTCGATGTATCAAGGAAGTATAGATGCTTAGAAGACCGTACAACGCAAAGAATGTTATTACGGACATATATCAGTAAGAATGAGTACAGAGAATATAGTAGGACCACGACCCCATGGGCCAGTCCATGGCACACGACCAACGTATACGCGTTGGTTGCCTTTGGCTTTGACAGAGGTCGAGGATCTGTCCGATATTCAGTGACCCAACTGTCGGATGATTTGGTTAGGGCTCAGTGACATATCATTGGCCCTACAACACTACATTGCTATGTTCAAATTTAGATAGGTTCAGGTAATTAAAATAAATTTCAACACCCTTCAAAGAAATAGAAAGCATAAATCCACCTTACGAGTTATTTAAACCGCATGTAATTAATGCCTAGGTTTGTGAACGAAGTGTAAAGCCAGTATTGTCAATAGCCTATAGGCGTATTGACCAGCCCGTACAACGAATAACGACCTGCCGCTGTTTCTAATATTCATAAAAAATATACATATCAATCCTTAAAAAAAAATCAACGAAATACTATGCTTCGACTTCGATACCGTTGTATTCGAATATTATACTATTGGCGAATTACGAGAACTATTTACAGACTGTTACTATATATATATATATATACTATATTGTATTGTACAACTAATAAGTAACTGGATTATATACACCTATATTCCCCTTATGATAAGCTTTCACTCGACTTGTTGACCACTGATATACTGAACCACATCCGTTTGGCTTGACTTTGTATAATTAATGTTTCTACATTTGTGATAAGATCTGGTCTGTTTGTGTATAAACCGAATATGTCTGAAATATACGATTCCTACGGGGGAAGGCTGATATTTGTGCTCCGAAATGAAAGAGCTGAGCTAAGCGAGGGGTTACTTATACAGATGATCAATAAGGACCCGTAGTTGACTCAAGGCTATTGGTGCTGGTTAACGCAACAATGGTCCCGCAAAACAACAAGTCGGCATTCTGATTGGCGATCGTGATTTAGTAATGCTTGGTGGCATGTAAATAGACGCTTTAATAAACAAGTCTGTTGAGTCTACGGGTTACTTCATAATAAATAGCGTGTGGTAACGACAGATGCCGGAAACGTTGTCCAGATAACTACTACGTATGAATTGAAAAAAGGTCTAATGAAGTGCTCTTACCTTACCTATCGATGTCCACTTTATTTATTAAGGGTCAAATAAGGCTTTTGAGAATCCGCACATGCAGGTAGTGAAAACGTTTTTCATGAGTCCTCAAGCACTCATAGTCTGTCATTTTTTGCCTCAAGTTATTAATACATGATCGTTTTTAAGAATAACTCATAACTCAGTAGTATGCTCAAGAAATTCAGTGAGATCGTTTATCGCAATGCACATAGAATAACTTAACGGTGTTTCTCATCAGAACTTATTTGCGTTCATACGGCTAAAACTTAGAAAGTGAAATAATCCTAAGCTTATTGATAAATTGGTGTTTAAACCGTTGCTTTCGCAGTATACAATGGAAAGAATGAAAGAAGCTAATGACAGATAACAGCGCTTCTTTTAAATCACAATATAAATATGTTTTAAGATAAAACAGATAAATTGTTTTTCTATAGTTTGGGGCCATCGACCGACTTACAACAGGACTTAAAAATTTTATGTACTCAAATAAGTTATTAGTAACTAGAAAAATCATTAAAATGATTCAGTTTCGGAACGCTTATTGGGGTGGGATTGTTTATTACTCTCGTATGTGAATCATCGATTAGTAAAACTAAACTGTCCAGATCCATCTTATGTTAGAGACGGGTGACTGACACACACATTATCATAGTTACACAATAAAGTAATTGTACAAGTTAACATCGGATATTATTAACGATCGTCAGACACAAAACCGGATGTTTCCCTATTATTTTACATACAGGTTAATAAACAAAAACTTAAGAGTTCTATCACAGGCTTTTCATCAAACTCTCATTAGTGTTACGTATAATGGACACATCAGTAGATCGTCAAACATATTCAACACTGATTCGCAAAAGCCTATCCAAAATAACCGTTCATAAAGTAAGTAACATTTGAATATCAGATAAAGTAATCTACACTGCAAACCACTGAATGTCGAATTACTTATTGTAACATGTCTAAAGAATACGTGGATACAAGCAAAAAAGATCTAGTCCTTACCACAGCCATTATAAAATTGATGTGAATGTACGTAGAATCATATCATATTCAATATAAAAAAACAGTCCAAGTATCATATAGACGATACATACAGACTATAAATAACTATCTGTATTCTACACAAGGTCAAACAGAACGCTGTATGTTATGAATGAGGAAAGTAAATGGTTAAATAGAATTGCAAGAGGGGAAATCACGAAAAAAATACAAAAATAATACATGGTAAAGACAAATCAATTAGAATTATAATGAATGAATTATTAATGCTTGTCTGATTAAAAGAAACTAGTTAAAACACGACTAATTACGTAATATTCCGATAGATTCAACAGGATTCACTAACAAAGATACAGGACGCCATAATGACACAGAAATCAGTATGAGGAAAAATAACAGCGTCACCACAGAGTGATACTTGAAGACAACCCTAGGCTAATTAACATTTCGATAACATTAATATATCAGTGTATTTATGAGGCAGATAATAGAATTACCGTGAGGGTGAATCAAACTAATATATGTAATCAAAATAAAAAATGATCTTTTTTAACGCTAAATCTACAAAGAAGATTAACAAGGAAAGACATAAGTTAAATTAATGGTGAAACATGAAAATATACTAGATTAATACAAAGCAACTCTTTTACACAATAGTTATTGGAATGTAATTGAAAGTTATGAGAATAAACAGAGTAAGAGAATGAGAAATTCATACTTCAACATATTTATTTAGAGTACATTAGATGTAATATTCTACCATACTTTCTACGAAAATCAAATGGATACAACGTATACATGCTGAACAGGAAGACATTTTCCAATAAATGTAACAGCAGTCAGTGCATGAGGAGAAACGAAGAATGAGAACAAGTTTAGTATCTAAAATATAGGAAAAATATGCCGAAATAAAATTTAGTTTGTTCTAAAATCTGATACAATGAAATGAATACTTCAAGTAAAAAATCTACAACGGAAATGTAGACGTATAAAACGTTACTGAAGGTAAAACATACATTTATAAATTGAGACTAAGCAAAAGGCATGAATGAAATATATTATATTACGAACAGTACAGATATACACAATGGGTCATACATAAATGAATACGGAATAAAAGTTTGTTTCTTATTATCATCAGGGTGTTTTGCAAGTTCATACATATATAACCATGTTATCTAGAAGGAATGCTTAGGCACCTATCTATCGAACTTCTTCGATGACCAGTGATAGTTATTATGTTTATATGTACCCATAGTTGTGTTAGGGCGTGTGATGCAGGTAAGACAACATCTCCTTATCATTAAACCTTGTACTTGAAAGGGGAATACGACTATCTGACAATAATTGCAGGAAACGACCACCGTTAATTGTTCGCTCAACTGAGACACTAAATGACCCAACTTATTATTTCCCAACTCGATTTAGAATATCTGCTTTAGTGTTAACACTGCCTGGAACGACTACCACGCTTGTCCCTCGCAAGCTTAAGACCAGAAAACTTCTTATAAAACTCATCATCTACTTCATACGAACTGCAGTGTATAGAATCATATGCAAAAAAACGAAAAAGTAACTGAATAAGTTTTCACCTTTCTGAGCTCTTACTACACCTCTTAAACGGATAGGTCATAAAATACTGTCGATAAGAATTTAGTTAAGGGAAATGCAATCTAAATAGAGAAGTAAACAATGACAGTTTGATGGTCAACAATAATCAATTAGGATCAAGGTTGACAGGACAAGGTGTGAGTCATATGTGGAGGAATTCAAACACTTCACTTCTACTTGAAGTTTGTGCAAGAAGAACGATGAAAGCTCCGTGATCAAACCATCCAGCTCAAATAACAGATGTCGGCCTCAACCCAGCAAAGTCACTTCAGTTAATTTTATGTAAACCCAAAGACAAAATCGTTAAAAATACTACATAATACAGAGAGTTCATTCTCTTCACCGTCGTCTACAATAATCCCACTTTGCCGTCAAATCCCAAGGCATATGTTAGCCTATAATAATACATATAGACAACTACGGACACATGTTAAACTGCAAAAACGGCAAAGTTCTAGCTAGAAAAAACACAAAGAAAATGAGAGGATTTCTGTAAGCTTGAGACTGAAATCAGTAAACATTTAACATACATTATGAAATAAACGCAATTCACCAACCAATTAGAAAAATCAAAAGCAACCAAATAATCAAGAACCAGGACAAGATAAACAAGATGAATGTGTAGATAATAGTGAGATAGGTTCAAACAATGATCAGTCAAATTTTAAGTAGACAGAACAAGTTGTTAGTAGTTACTTGTTGATAAATTCCAAAACTAAACTTTCTTCTAAAGTTTGTACTGATGTTATCTACAAAAAACATTGACAGCTTAATGTTTGAACCACCCAGCTCAGGTAACGCAATTTCAACAAGTATACCAGGAATCTTAGTGAAACTAACCCTTTGGTTAGTTTGTCGATAAGTAAAAAGAGGTGAGAAAGACAATTTTATAGTGTATGACAGTTTTGGATAATATTATTCTATTTATTCCTCAATGTGAATAAGTATAGTTTGGTTCGACTTAATGTGCTAATAATGAAAAAACCTTATAATATTTTCTTACTTGTAGTTACTCGGTTTAAATGGTCCTGTTTTATTTACACCTAAATATCGAGCTTGTTCATCAGTGAGTTCAGTTATTCGACCATTGAATAATGGAAGATGCAATGTTGCCACATATTCATCTGTAGTATTAACAAAAAAATGGTTAAATTAATACAATACATTAACTACTATGAACTTTCGGAACGTGATCTTTTAGAATAACGACGACATTTACAGGAAAAAACACAAAAAAACAATGAAGAATAGCACACTCTTATAACAGTCTACACTTCTATATGAACTAAGCACTGATAATATCGACTAGAACGACAATAAGATCACTGTAAACTAAATCATCTAGCTCAGAAAATACAACAATACCAATTGCAGTAAAACAACAACCTCGTTACTGTATACAAAACCGAAATTTTGAGTTAATACAAACCAATCGATGAAATATTGTTAAGTTTCAATTGGAAATGAAAGTCTTGGTGCAGACTTCCACAAAGTTATTTATGTCATTTGATCAAAAAAGCACACGTTTATGATAATACGATAAAATATAAAAATATCAAAAGTCATTTTTCACGTTCGATTACATCAACCGATTCATTTCAGAAAATCACGAATCTTGTGATAAATTAACTTCGTTCATGTTATTTATTTCCTTTCAATGAATAAAAACAACTGGTTATATTTGTTTATATGTTTTAAACAAACTAGAGCTTAGATGGGTGAACCCATCATGATAAAATTTTGTCTACTATTGTTAGTGAAGCATGTTAAAAGCGAATTGAATATCATACATAGAAAACATATATTCAAGCCTTTCAGATGATATATTGTTAATCCCACCAAATGATCTCAGTCGTTGGTTTAATAATTACATTCTATTCGATCAAAATATTTCATATGTTGAGATCATAGAATGAGCCATGATGATGTTAAGTATAACGTAAATATAAGGTGAACATGACAAATCGGTTGATGAGGTGTGGTGAATCATCGTAGACGGAGTTGATTAAGACATGTAATAAAGCTTGCCAAACACAGTGAAAAATTCAGAAAGCAACACAATTTATCCAATCAAAAAAATAATAAAATTAACCTAAAATATCTTTGTACACCAGTAATGGAGAAACATTTAGGATTTATATAACAAAAACCTAATAACTTTGTGAAGTGAAATAAAAATGGAACAAGGAAGTAGGACAAACTAAAATTAATACTAAATTATATATTATGACTTTCTGATTTATATCATTTTCTCCTTTCAATAAATAACACAGTGGAATAATGAATAAACGTTAACCTATACAACAAAAAGCAACTCTTGTTTATCCGAGAAAACAAAACAAAGAGATGATCTTGTAGAGTGAATGAAAAAAAAAACGAAAAGGTTAGCAGAGAAGAAAATTTGGCCACACCTAATGATTCTTTTGTCCTAAAAAAATGATCTCGAAAAGAGAATTTGTAATAAGAATTTAATTTAAACTTGACAATAAGAAGAATACCTAGATAAAACAAGGGGAAGCGAAGACAAACAATAATAAAAAGTGAAGTAAATGCGTAGATAAGTAGATTTCGTCGTTCAACTAAAAAAACAAATAATTGTAACTGGTCACGAACAAGTAAAAATATTATTTTCAGTCAAACAAAAATGAATACAGGAAAGAAACACCAGATGAGTGAAGAAGAGCTTGAAAGCATTCACACATAAAAAATATCCCCAACTTTAATAAACTGTCATACGGAAGACAGTATGCAAGTTATATGTGAATAATATAGTTCGCAGAACGCTTCTCATATAGACTAGCGACTTTCATCAGTTTTAGCCTTCAATTCATGAGTGCACAGCTTCATAAAGTGTCATTTAAAGGAAAGCTGCTTCCGTGATCTGCGAAACAAGTATCAAGAAGAAATCCTTAACACCTATGAATTACACACAGTTCCGAAAAAATATGAAACATTTCAAGAACTGACTACGTTTAATTTGTCTTTAGGCTGTCTTGTCGATACATTTAGACCATATTAACTGGTCCTTTATATCGGCCTCAGATACAGTGGCTAGACTCTAAAAAGACTACCAAGAAAATATCGTTCATCCCAAATCAAACATTTCAGTCCGTAAAAGACCTACTTTTCAAGAGAGAGAACTGATAGGCCGGACAGTTTCGAATAGATTACATGTTATAAGGCTGAGCAGACCATATGTTATTCGAAAGCCAAACAGTGGGAGAAAAATACAAATGTAAATGGGTCTATTGTGTGTGAGATGATCATTATTTTGACCAGTGTCATTATTCATATATCCCTGTCTGAGTCAATACTTATATATATACTCATGGATACTGAATAAATTTTCAAGTTTCAGTAATAATGTTTCCACCATAAACTTAATCTTCTCTGAATAGATAATTTGGTGAGTACTAAGAAGTATGTATTAATTGATGAATCAAACTGCTAAAAAACATCACATCCTGGGGGACAAAGATGGGACTTGGAGTAAATTTTAGACATAATACAGACATTCACTTGATTGGTCAAGTGTTCATGCAAACAATGGATTCAACCTGTCGACCTTTCACGCCTTCACATAATCAACATAAAATGATGCACTATAATGTACACGAAAAGTTACCGTTCAATAGTAAAAGATTTATAAACAGATAATTAAACATATTTTTTACTATAAGCAAAAAAAAAACAACAAACAAACGGATGAACATAGTAAACAGTTACAATCATTCACATAAACTATCACTCTTACCCATTTTTTTCGGTAACAAATACACATCATTTTTATAACGACCAGCAGGAGCATTGTACAATTCAATCAAAGCTAATATCTGGATAAAAATTATACAAATCAATTAGAGTAAATAAATTTAAAATATTTTTTCCCAAAAAGAAGAAAACACAAATGTTTTGTTTAAGGTTATAAATTTTAGGATCAAACATATAATTTTAGTGTAGACCACTTTTTTTTATTAAAAAAAACAGTGGAATTATTCAAATAAAATGAAATTTGCATAACAGAACAAAGACCTTATCATAAATACATAATAATAATAATAAAAGATATGCATTTTATTCCCTTATCCTTGAATAAATAAACAAAATAGAATAGTATAAATGGTTGATTTGCATTCGGCACAACTACATCATACATACAGCAGATAAAATCACAAATTAAACTTGCATAATATTGTTTCTATTATATAATATTTACATGACAGTATTGTTGACATATTAATTTACATTGTGTATTTCTTTTTCATTGTAAAATTTCGTTAGAAATCATGTAAAATTTATAACATCAGTTCATATGTATTTAAAACTATGAATAATTTTATTTGGGTCATAAGTTTGATGTTTTTTTATGTGAGCACTTGTGAATAAAAGGTTTATTATACTTACACACACACACACACACACACAAGAAATGAATCCAAATTTTTGAATAAGTATTAAACGCTGCCAAAAAACTAGTTTTTTAAAAAAAATTAATTGATACTATAATATAATAAATATTCTATGTATTAAAGTATATTCATAGAACAGATAGATCGTGACTAGCAGTGGAATCCAGGATGCCAACCAACTGATCGAAAATTATTTTAAGGTTGTCAACAACTAGATAACTTAAATCATTTCTAACTATGATATATATGGTAAATATATTGTTAAGAATGATATTCACGAATCTACAATGAATTACTTCTTGTACATGGTTATTATTATTATCATTACTATTCGCCAAAATTTTTGGCCAGTTGAACTAAAAGATCTTTGTGGAATAAGCATCCTGCATCATTTACAGGTTATATAATTGAATGGAATATGTCTGATTGGTCATTTCTATATTAGACTACACAAATCACTGTAAACTTACATTGTGACAAAAAAAGTTTGTTATACGATGGGATGTTTTTTTCCAGCACAGAATGTCAATCAACAAAATTAAGATTACAAAGACCAGAACAAAGTGCTCATACTAATTTACTATAGATAATTAAAAGGAGGCTCTTGAAGATATGAACATGTGAAGTACATATCATTCAGTAACAAAAAATACATTATTATTTGGATGGAGTTTTGTTCTCTGAGCTGGATGATTTGGTCGTGGAGCTTTTATCGTTCTTCTGAACGACATCATCAGCACAAAATTCATTATTATTGTTTGCCCACTAAACTAGATTATTCAGTCTCACTGTGTGAAGTATGAAAACTCATGTTTCCAGGTAACTTAGACTATGGTAAGAAAAGCGAATCAAATAAAGTTAAAATATCAAGACGAATTAAATAAACGATGAATATTTATTAAGTATCATGTTGTCTAGATTCATCTAATGACTAAATGTTCATTTTCAAGCTCTTATGGTGACAAGAAGAACATATAGTTTAAAATCGGATAATTACGATAAGAATTCTTGTATGTATTAAATGTTGTTTACATTAAAAAACATGTGAAATTATTTATATAGTACAATTACCAGGTACCAGGTACCACCTTATCACTTAAACTAACAATACTGAGTCATTTTGGTAACTTCAATCAAACGATACTGAGTATATAGTAGTAACGTTAAAAAACAATTATCCAAAATAATGAACCCAGTTTATCGCAAACTAACTTGAGTACTGGCGCTAACAGAGACAACAATCGATGGAACAGTTGAACAGCTTAAATTCGCCAAACGACCCTAGAAGAACAAGAAAGCACAAATAAATTCTAATAGAATCAAAGTTGTAAATAAGTTTAAAAAAGAAATAATTGAAACCCACTTTCTCCTAAACAAAAGCCTGATACACAGTTCAGTTTGTAAACCACATTAGCACAATGAAACGAAATTAAAAAGATGAATTGCAAAAGAGGTGGGAATAATGTAGTAGCAATCATAATAGGAAAGACTAATCATTGCGAATATGCTTTGAGAAGACAAGGTGTGAAGGTATGAGTGAAGGAATACTCGAGTCTACAATAGACAGGAATATAAAGTGAGTGAATGTGTGTCATTTTAACCGACAATATATCACCTGACTGCAGATATTTTGCGGACACTAACCAGGTAGTTCGCACTTGTCAAAAATAGACCAAACCAACAGTCAATAACTTCATGGACTGATACTGATACTACGTTTTGGTTTGACCACCCTATTGAAGATATCAAACAATGAAGAGAAAAATAAACCCATATTCAATTAATAAAAAATGATTGTAAACGAAAACAGAAGTAACATTTCATATGAAAGACATGCTCTAACCTCAGCTATAAGAACAATACGTTTACCATCCATCCAAATAACATGATCCACTTGTGATCGAACACGCTCCCATGTTAAATCAGGTGTTTGAAGAGATCGCTAAACGATTAAGAGATTGAAACAAATATGAGGTATATTATCAAGGAAATATTAATGTATTATTGTCTGAAAATATGATGTTAAAGAACCACATGATCTTTGCCTTTTGAAACATCTCAAATGAGACGTAAAGATCGGGATAGAAATTAGTATGTTACTAATCATATATCATTTAGTACGTGTCGCAGAAATGATTACACCATAGCACAAGTATACATATGAACAATCGCGTCTGATTACTGGGATAAATTAAGACATATCCAACTAAATTGCATTACACATATGTACTAACTAATTTGATGAACACATGAATAAGGTTAGTACAAGGGGGCAATTTTCGTAAACAAACCGTCGAAGGTTTTTAAATGACAAAAAACTCAGTTATAAAAACACATTTAATAACTAATCACAACTGAAAAGTGCCATAGAAAATTTAATAATATACCTAAACAACAATTTTTACAAAATGGAATTTACTTAGATTACTAAAAAATCCAAGTGATTTTATACGTATATGAATGATTTTCTCGAACTTTTAGTATAATTCCCTTCTGAGGTCAAAAGATCGCGTAATTAGAATCAGCCAATCAACCCTTGGCTTTAGCATATCGTTTATTATAATTATATTTACTTACATGCATTTCATTGGTGTCGACCTTTAAGTCTAAGTGTAAACCTGTGCATTAGTGTTGAGCCATAATAAGATGCTAACTGATAAGAAACACTTCTCTGCTCAAGTTGTACACTTAACAACAAAATTAAATCACATAATCTGTTAAGAGTTTTCGATAAGCTGAAAAATTAAATAAGTTTATAAGCTTGTAATAATAAATGACATAGCTACTACCCCAAAACAAGCTAAGAATTCCGAAGTACCTACGCTGCATTTGTTTGAAATGTTAGTTATAGGTTGGATAAGCTGATGGAAGCATCATAGACTTTCTTAAGATATAAGGACAAAACCCTATAGGTTACTAGTTATAATTCAAACATTTACATAGTTATCAATGAATGCCAACAACAAACTATTGCTCACTTCAATAGAATACAACTATTAAGTTGAATTTCTCTATTCACCAGTATGCAGTAAATACAAATGTTTCATATTACTGACTAAATAAAGACTGAGAAATTTATAACGAAATGTGTTAGATTAGAGCTTAATATTTTTATTTTATTCAATGAATAATTGACATTTTCTTATTTTGACTATATTAAAAGGCGAAATAGGTTATAATTGATTAGACAACTTTTGATTAAATGTTTACCGAAATCATGAACTGAATATCTATCTATATAAATGTATAGTAATGAAATTGTTTGCAGCTAAAAACATTTGTACAAAATTAAAGTGTAAGTAAACACATACAACATCGATTTCTGTGTTTGAATGACCCATATTGCATACGACACAACCATTTTTCATTTGATCCATATGGGCCCGAGTAATGACACCTTTATTCCCGGTGCAAGTAACCACAATATCCACTGAACGTATAACTTCGTCGATTTTTACAACACGATAACCATCCATGCTTCGAAGTAAACAGAAAGACAAAAATAAATAGAAATTCTGAGAAATCTCAAGCTACTATTTATAACACTTCGGCATTCCAGGAAAACCTGAATGATTTTAACACTAAAAAGCATTCGTGGAATGTTATTCAAAGACCTTGTCTGATTCTGAAGTTACTCAACAGTATATATATATATATATATATATATATATATATATATTCAATGGCTGTTTTACTCAAGTCGGTTCGTGTTCTCCATAACAAAGTTACTAACTGTTAAAATAGATTCACCTGGCTCTTTCAATTTGCACGATAAGTAAGTGCTCAAGGTCAAAAGCATTGAATTTTGAAGTAGTATTTTGAAATCATTGTGCTCGATAAGAGATCAGAATGTTATTTTCTCAATCATATGGTTTAAAACAAGATTACCGTTTCAAACCAAGACCTAACGGCTATCCAATGTCAGCTGATTATCGAGGAATCTATTTGATATAATTGGTTCAGGACAAAAATTACTTTAAAATAAAACTAAGGGAAAAATTAACCAAAAAGGCACAACTCTAACTTCCTATGGAAATGTATCGAATCTTGTGAGAGGAAATAAAAACTTTTGCTTACCAAGCTTGAAGTGCACAGATCGGATCTATTTCCGAAATACAAACGAAAGCTCCTAATCCTCTTAACGCTTGACAAACACCTTTCCCAACTTCACCATAACCGCATACCAATACAGTCTTACCACTGATCATCATATCTGTAGTTCGTTTAAGACTGAAAGGAAGAAGAATTACGAAGATTTGTATTGAAAATTATGCAGTACCAATCATCACTACTATACGTTTGACCATTACTTATGTAAACACATAAACATTGATACGAGGAGGCATCAAATATATATATATATATATATATATATATATATATATATATATATATATATACCATTCGATTTGTTTGAGGGCTAGAACCTCCGAGATGTCTAGCCGAACTTGGTTTTATTTTATTAGTTATTTATTTGAACACGTAAATATTGGTACAAGGGGGCATCAGATACATACACAATAACAATGAGAATGTAAAAAGATGAAGAATATAAAGTTCACGTAAGAAAAAGGGGAACAATATCGAACAGAAACTAGTGTGTGATAGTAAAATAATAATAATAATGGGACGGGCAGTTCAGTTAGTAAAGATACAACCAGAAAGAATCATTCCAGTTTAAGAAGTTACGTTCATTTTTATGAAGAAAGTAAGAGAAAGTCAACGCAGGTTCACCACTGGCTTCTATTCTGAGCCATATCTGATAACGTCTCTAGCCACTGTGTCGCACCATCTCTCGGACCCCAACCAGGAAGTCATGAACGACCAACAGAAGCCAGCCTTTTGCAGCTCTCTTTCATACAACGACACCATGTCAGACACTGACCACCTCTCCGCCTTTTCTAACTAGTCCCAGCGTTCGCAAATAATGCACGACGATGAATTCTCTGGGGCGACATTCGTAGTACATGTCCAAGCCACCGAAGTCGATGTTTTAAGATGGTGATACCAATTGGATTATCGTCTCTGTGCCCGAACACACGATGCCGAACCTCTGCATCACTAACATGGTGTTGCCACTGGATGTCAGCAATCCTTCAGAGATAGCGATTATCAAACACAGAGTCGTCTGACATCCTTAACTAAGAGAGGCCAGGTTTAACAGTCAGTCAGTCAGTCAGTCAGTAACAACGTAGAACTTCGTACGTACGTACATCAGTTCGAGTTGCCACACCACATTAGCACAGAGATGCACTTGTCGATTCAAATCCCGTAGTGGTAGAGGTAATAAGAGTATAAGCAGTAATCGGGAAGATTAGGGTTTGGAGATGTTATTTAAAGAGTATAATCCAGTGAAAGAAATTTGGAAAGAGGAAAAAAGGGACATGAAGAATTCAGAAGATTAGAATTTGGGAGAACACAGAGAGTGGATGCACCTGCGCCATTGCAAACGATTTTGAGCCATGTCATTCAGGGTCTCTAACCATCGATTGCTGTCATCTCGCGGTCCCCAACCAGGTAGTCTACACCTACCAACATGACTCAGTTCACTTGTCAGTGACTTCATGGACTTGTGCCATGTTTTGGTTTGGCCGCCCCTAGCTTTCTTCCAACCTACTCCTATACCACTGAACATAGCACGTCGAGGCAGTCGGTCGTTGGGCATACGTAACACGTGTCCCAGCCATCTCACAAGCATAGAGCGAAACTGCTATCACCGACGCGTTGTAGATCCGACCTTATACAGCCAAGCTAGCATCACGAATGCGCCAAAGATGGCCTAGATTGGCATAAGCCGCTCTGTCTTTCATTATACGTGCATTGATCTCATCACTCACGACACCACCAGCACTTATACAGCTGCCCAGATATACGAACTTCCCGACTACTTCTATCCGCCCACTGCCCATGGTGAGTACAGGGTTAGGATCTTGCCAGTCTTGTGGACGTACTTTGCACTCCGAAGGTGCAAAGCATATACCGATATCGATAGTTAGATTGGCAATGTCATGGAATAACTTGAAAATTATATGTTCAAAGCTACTGAAACATTAATGTTAACAATCTTTCAGATTTCTTGGAAATTAGTCGGGTATATAATCCCAAAATGCCTTGTATATCACGATATATATATATATATATATATATATATATATATTGTTATATGGTTTCATATGACGGTATCAAAACTTACGAATCAACAATTGATTCTTTGCACAAATAGAAATTATCGAACTTTGACTTTGTTATACTGTCGCTAATATTCATAGCCGGCACTCCCAATGTGCCAGATTTCACGTACTGATAAAGACGATGAACACCTGTCACACTTTCTTCAACTATTCCACATATACCAGACAGTAGTTCCTTGTAATTTTTATGCAGCTGATGAGTTAAGTCCCCACCATCATCCAAAACCTGAGAGGAGAAATGGAAAAAAATATGAAAAATCAGAATAAAGCATTAATGTGTTGGAAATGGAAAATCTAATATATCTCAGAAACACAAGTTGGTTAGAAGTAATCAAAATTGTATTGAAATCACGAACCAATCCAAGTAAGAAAACTAGCAGAAACCTAGGAGCACCGGACGGCCGTCTGTTTTACGTATGGGATTCTTCAGCACTGCGTGTTCACAACAATCTAACATGATCAAACAAACTGGACCATTAATGTAAAACACATCAATAGTGACATAATCACACGGAAGTAAGATGAGAGGGCTAGTCTTTACAAATGAGCTTGCTTCGATTAAGAGCGAATTGATGAACAACAATGTATGACCAGTATTTGCATGAAATTTAGAAAAACTTTGAGGTCGTTCACTGAAAAAGAAAAAGAAATAGAATACCCAATAGTAAGAAACGTTAAATACAATCCCTAGTTACGATTTTGAGTCATGGTGGTAAGTTGAAGCGAGGAAGTAACAGTATAAAATATTATTAATGTTTTTAGGATCATTGTAGAACATATATTTGAGGGCTTAAAATCTATAACCCTCATTTAACCTTATACATAAAGCAAATTATTTATCAAACAGAGAAATTTATGATTATTTTGAAAATGTTAGTAATATGAAAGGAACTAAGGTTGAAATACTATATGATATTATGATCAAAATGACAAGAAAATGTTAACTGGGAAATTGTTAATTTGCAAAGCATATTATCAACTACACGAAGAAAATATACTAAATTCATTCAACTAGTGTTTGTAGCAAAAGTATTGTAACAGAAATGTTAATCACAGACAGACAAACAAATAATTCACTAGGTATTTGAGTATGAACCACCGAGTTGCCCAAAGAGAAATAGGTGATGCAGGGTTCGAATCTGAAAATTAGAGGTTGGGAGTCGAATGGCTAAACCACTAAGCCACAGTTCCACACACTGTTATATACAAAGTATGCAATGACGTAAAACTCATCTGTTCAAGTCGTTACACCTCATAACACAAAAAACGACAAGATATGTAGTGTACGAGTATGAGATAAATCTTGTTTGGGTCATATAAATTAGGAAATGAAGACAACCTAACCTAACGGTATAACAGATAACAGCGTACTGATCATGCCCATGCGAGTATCTAAATGGATAGACTACAAAAACCAATTGATTTTTAAAAGTTTATTTAGTATAAATTTAAGGTAAATTTATCATAGTGAACGCGCTTATTTTATTTCCGTACTTTATTCGAAGCGATACTTTTGCACTGGTTTGTTTTACTGAGTCAATATTGTAAGTAATGCTGTAATTTTCATTACTGAGATCAAGATTCTGAATGTATTTATTGTAAAGATTACGTCATATAGCCAACATTATTTTCTTTAGACTAGACAGTAAGATTAACCTTTGAAATTTGTGATGAATGGATATTCGGCTTGCAAAACAAAACCTGGATTTAGTTCATCCATCGTGAGATCAGTTTTATAAAATATTATAGGCATGATAAGTAATCCAAGTCTAAGAATATGCAAATGTACGATTAGTTTTACAGTATATATATATATATATATATATATATATATATATATATATATATATAGTGTAGGCCTTTATATTAAGACTTTTATGTTTAGTACTCAGAACTTAAAAAGATTATATCAATAAAAACAAGGGTACATCAAAATTACAGAAACACAATGATGGATCATGTTAGTTGTCAAGATAGCTAGTTGCACGACAAACTGATCTATTCAATTATTCTGACGTTTTCAAAATAGTGTTGTTGAACCGAATGAACGATTCAGTGGACACCAACCTTTGAGATCAACGGGCTGGATTCTGTAAAGACCAGTCGTGCACAAACAAAATAGCGACAATAGGGATCATCGTTGCACAATCAATTGAATGAAACTAGCTACCAAACATTAACTTCCTTGATTATGAGAAGACATTTGACGGTTTGGATAGGAGAATATTATAGGAACTTATTCAACACTGTGGTGTACCTGAGAAAATCGTCAACATCATGAGGAATTCATGCGACAAACTACAGTGCAAAGTGGTGCGTGAAGGACAGCTGTCAGATGCATTCCAAGTGAGGACCGGAATGTATCCACCTTTAATAATTTAGTTGTAAGTTTATTTCGCAAATATACCAACAATAAGGCTTATTTGTTCATCAATATCTTTCTGCATTAAACTGCAACAGTAAGAATTAACAACTCTTATTTCCTGTCAAAGAAAAAGAAATATAAACCGTTTGTGAAAAAAGTCTCCCTTGTCAAGTACATAATTAAGAGGTTATGTTCCACGTTTCTTAAACATACCAACTAAATACGTTTCTCACGAAAAAAACACATCACTAAGTCAAAACAACAAAAGATCAAGAAATAATTTTCAAATATCAGATAAAATTCAACATACAAAGTAATAAGTAGAGAGGATAAAAACATCTGACATACTACATTGGGTATCCAACCTTCAGCAGATATACAACGATTAATACACCACCAGAAATCCTCTTCAGTTTCGCCTTTCCATGCATAAATAGGAACACCGGACTCAGCTAACGCTGCTGCCACTTCATTCTATAAACAAACAAAAAGCATTTTAATGGTAATGAAAATAATTACACAGTATTACCAGTGTTAATACAATAATTACAATATCAACGAACATTAAAAAGCTGAAAAATCTTGGGCATACAAATATGATCGTCATGTAATTATTAATGGGAAAATAAAACTAATAATAGTGAAAATTAGAAGCATTAGAACGGCTGCTAAGTTAAGATAATTCATAGGAAATGCGTTCATCAAAATTATCTGATATATTTTTCTGTTATTTATAAGTACAATACAAAAAAGACGATAGAACAGCCAACAATTAAAAGATCTCATATTTCTTAGACTACTACTCTGCCAGTCAATGATAACAAGGAAAAGCCGGAAGAGATTAACTCTTAGTTGTTAAATGATTTATTAAAAAGTAATTGAAGTGCGTTTTAATTTAAAAATAAGTAGAATGGATCAATGGAAAGAGTATTGGGCTGCATAGCTCCATTATTCATCACATGACGATGGAAATAGACACAAATAGCTTTTCGTAGACTAAGAATAAATCCCTTTCAACATTACATTTGAATACTATACATAAAACTATTAAATACATGAATTTTCTTTTTTTGCAAGAAAACAACAGAACAACTTTGATCTAGGGAGTTATGTTATTTGCTCATACTCATTTATAAGTTTATAAGTTGTAACTTCAAGAAAATTTATGGTCTGATTTGAAACACTACCAAGTTATTAAATCACATGACACTGTCCTGGTATGATATCATATAATGATTAAACTGTTTTTCATAGTCAACGGAGCACAATGACAACTAATGATTAGTGGAATAACAACAAAGACTATTATAATCTGGAAACACAACTAATGTATCATTAGACTTGACTTGATAAATTCAAACAAATAGGGCATTGGGTAAATTGTTAACTAAAAAAATAATATATTTGTAATATCTTGATGGGTTACTTGTGAGTTTATTTTGAAAATATACCCACTTTAATCAAAAATATAAAAGCTGTAAGATTTTGCACAAACGAGGATGCGTTATAAACTTATTTTGTTTTAAACCTAGCCACTTTCTGAACTATTAACTATATATAATTGTAAACGAAGAAAACTTATTGAAAAGCATATCCTTCATGCATATATTATTAAATAGTATTGATACAGAGAAATATTACAAACTAATACTTCACATTCCCAGAAAATACAGGTGTTTATTAACAGTTGTCTACGCAAAATACTTCAGATCCGTTGGCCAGCCACTATTAGCAAAAACCTACTGTGGGAGAGAACAAATCAGATCCCAATGGAGGAAGAAATCAGGATGAAGCACTGGAAGTGGATAGGACACACATTGAGGAAAGCACCCAACTGCGTCACAAGACAAACCCTCACATGGAATCCTCAAGGCCAAAGGAAAAGTGGAAGACCAAAGAACACATCACGCCGGGAAATGGAGATAGACATGAGATGGAACTAGAAAAGAAGGCGGAGGACAGAGTGGGTTGAAGAATGCTGGTCGGCGGCCCATGCTCCATTGGGAGTAACAGGCGTAAGTAAGTAAGTAATACCTCACATTCAAACGTAAGTTCCAAATGATTATTCCGATAGAAATACAGAATAATTGCTTCATCAAATATACGTTTTGATCAACGAATAACTATCAAATTGTAGCGAAACAATACACATATATTTAACTAATTATCTGAACCAATTAATTTATGAAGAAACTACCGATTTCACAGTACATATGTATTTGACATTAATAAATCATTTAGTAGAAATATTTTTGAGAAAAAAAACATTTAAATAAGTCAGTTTTCATCATCATTGCGCACAGTATGTGATATAAACTAAATCATGAAGTTTAACAACCACATAGAAGTATATGAAATATGTCAGTCAATCAGTGAAACAATATTTTGTTGATGCTTATTTTTCAACATCGGAACTTGTGACTGATTTTATGTTTGTGAAACTTTTTCACTGAATAATTTTAAAGCAAAAGATATTTTTAGACACAGTGAAGTAAACAGCTAACAGACGAAATGAAGACTTATTGACATAATCTGTTGGTATCTAGCGAACATTAACTCTCAATTATTTTATCCGTTACATCAAGATATGAAATAGCAATTTCTACAAGGTTTATGATTATGAATTCTACAAATCATGTAGATTACTTTACTGAAAAAACTGCATACAACGAATCTTTTAAACATGTACAATCCAAAACTGTTGAAAAAGAAACTTTTCTAACATGGCCAAAACATAACAGCACAAACATGGCTTACCTGTGTTGAATATATGTTACAAGCACACCATCGAACTTGAGCGCCAAGACATACCATTGTTTCAAGTAGTACCTAATTGATAGAAAAAAATCCCTCTAAATGAATAAAATGTGCATCTAAACAAGAAAGTAGAAATGAGAATAATTCATATTGAGAAAACTCAATAGATTTTCATCATCAGCTAATCATTTTCAAAAATAAAATGATAGAAGTACAAAGAACAATATGATTTTGAACCCGCTGTATTTAATTAATTAAACATGTTACAGTATATAGGCATGTGTCCGATAACCGGAAGAAAAAATTAAAACTTAATTGAACAAAAAAATCTAAAGTTCATGTAGGCCGTTTAATATTGACAGTCGGTTTAGTTATAGGACTTATGAATGGAAGTGTTAATATCAAATTATGAAAGGTCTTTGAGCAAACACAATATGTCTTACACTTATAACAAAATTTTCTAAGCAGATAACTGACAACTGAGTTGTTTTAATACTGTCGAACCTACTTATCCTAGGTGGTTACATATATATAGATACTTGGATACAATCACAATATTTAAACTAGGTAATTAGTATTTATTTATTTTATCCGACGATAGTAATAAATTTGAACTGCTACCAGATTACTCTGTTAGATAATTTGTAAACTTTGTATATATTAGGCTTCGTATTTTCTACACGACTTTCTAGGCAAATATAACTGGGGCTTAGAAGTGGTGGATCGCGGCTAGCAGTAGAATTCAGGACACATATATTATTTCATCCAAAACTCGACAACCTAACGAACCTTTGTCTCAGCGTTCACACTGGGACATGAACTATGTACCTTTCGCTTCTAATGACCAACGCGCTATTTGTTGAGCTGCTGAGTTTAGATAGCTATCAACTCGTTTAATGGGTATGCTGTTTGCATCATTATTTTTTTTATTGTCATTATTATTTTTATTATCCTCATTAGAAAGAGTTTGAGTTATCCTGTTGTTTACGTATATTCATCTGCCGAGTCCCAAATACGACGAAACGCATGTACTGGAAATCAATGTTAGCTACAATCAAACTATTCTAAACAAATTATGATATTATCGCAGTATATGCTACTTATGTTGACAGATATAAGTAGTATGAAACCCCAATCAGTAGTGAAAGCCTGGCAGCAGAAAATTGAATGAAGAGAACAGAAGGACCATCGGAGAGCAATCGAAATAACAAAAAGAACTATGGGGATGGTTGAGTAGGTAAACGGACAACGTAAAACTGTGAAAATGATGTATTTAATGTATGAGTTTCATATTTTACCAAGCCACTTGGTGGTTTTGCACTTAAAAATAAAATGGTTTTCCGTATCTGGGTTCTCGTTCACTACACCATATCTAATATTGACGTAATCTGCTTAGGATCCACACGTGCCAGCAAAGGGTAATCAAAATTCAGGGTTAATTAATAACGGATTAAATCAAACCAATACAAATAGTGATATTATATTGTAGTGCATGCCACTGATGTCGACAGATATAAGTAGTATGTATCACCAATCGAAAGTGAAATGCCTGGTGGCAAACAGTTGGGAAAATCGAAAAAAAGAGAACCAGAACAGAGGGTAATTAGTATGGACACGAACGAACAACAACGTTTGAGACAATCGATGCATATTTGGCAAATGAAGTCTTTACAGTATGGTTCTCAGATTTTACCAAGATATTCAGTAATGTGTTAAAATACATTTGATCGTCCTGATTGGTGTTCTTGTTCACTACGACATAAATATTACCGGGATTTCAATTGTGAATACCATTTGATACGCATTATTTCCGTTTTTCGGATAAATATAACATATCAAGGGTCATAAATATCTGTTATACTCCAAAGAATCACATCATATACAAATTATATTTGTGGAAATTTTAGCTATGTAAATTAAATTATTTCATTCCCACCCGATAATTCGATCTTAGCTTTTTCAAAGGGAATGAGTTGTAAAACATTTAAGAATCAGTTATTAAACGAGAAAAAAAGAATACATATCCATGGTGTACATAATAATCACTTAAAACTATCTAACTACAATGTAAAAAACAGAAACAAATCTCGCGGTTAAAAATCCTCACTCACAGCTGTATGCGCGGTCACGTGTGTACAACCGAGAATTTTGGCTCCTTTTAATGGCTGATCAGTTTTAGCACGCTTTCTTAATGCCATCAAACCAGGCATTTCTTAAACAAATAATAATAAAAAAATTAACCAAAGGGGAATGAAGCAAACAATAGCTCGTTAGTTAGTTTAGTTAATTGATAACAATCCATATTGGTAAACGAACATATATATATATATATATATAATATATATATATATATATATAATGTCGATTTAACATTGAAACAAACATAAACAACTATTCTAAATAAAAGAAATTTGAAAAATATCATCGTTATAATTAAGGTAACTAGTTTGAAAAGTTCAATATCCTATATAAATAATAATTATATCCGTATGTGCATATGTGTCTTCCCTTCATCGCCTTTATAATTAATACAGTAAAAATTCATTGACAGGATTTCTTAATGTCAAATAACATCCAGTAAAAATACATTTGTTATAATGATAGTAAAAAAAAATTTTGAAAAAAGGCATATGATTTACTGAAAAGTTTGATTTTTATTATCTCCATCGTATAAAATGTAAAATAAACAACATACAATTAGGCGTATTTACATGCACATATTTTTATTCAAGTTTAATAGATAAATATTCTTAACAATATAGAAATGAATAAAAAGTTAATTATATATATTATAATATTTATTATGATCATGTTATTAAAAAGTCAAGTGATAGTAACTAGCTGTTTTCAAAATATTGGTGGACACTATTTTTTTTTTGAAAAATTTGTACATGTGAATGATACTATCTTATGTTTAATCAATGGGTAACATGTGGAGTGAGAAAATATATAAATAGAAAAAAATTTTTTGTTTTACGAAAAATAAAACAAACTAGTTGTGCTTTTTGTTTTCAATCACTGTCAATAAGGACAATGTAAAATACCATTTTACCTATTAACACGTGTTTTGTTGAATGTAACGAAAAAATAAAAGCTATGAGATTAGTTATGAACTTCAATGTAATAATCTATATAATAATATAAGATGGTAGATAAATGCCAGTTTAAAATAAATTAAGCTTTTTAAACAATGAACTAGGAACAGTTCAGTTGGATTAACATTCAAAAGTATTATTCTTAAAGAGTTAGAGACGTTTCTTTACTAATGAAATATAGTTTATCGAACAAAAGGAACATAAACATATAGGAACATGAAAAATAATTAAAAAGACTACATTGATGTTAACAACCACTCCTGCAATTAGCAAACTGTTAACAGAGAATTCTGTAAATTTGATGAGATTGTTCACTGGAATAAAGCCATAACCAATAAAACGATTGACTGAACACGATGATATTTTATACTACCCAGTGAGTTACTAACAAAGAAAATTGATTCTTAATTTAAAATTCAATTAAATTATTCACCAGGTATTGGGTAAGGAGCCACCACACTCTAAATAACCAGAATTAATGAACATAAACAGTTGCTCAAACCCAAAGCAGGCGAGGGGTTTCGAACCTAGAATTTACTAGCAAAAATTCGAAACCCCATAATTACCAAGCCACCGCTTCATCTTATCCTACAAGTGCATAAATAAACATCCAGTTAGTTACTTGTTTAATTATCAGACAACCGTTTACTTTAGGAGTCTGTATCATTAAAATATGATTTTTATGAGTAAATATTACTAAGTAACAATTCACTTTAATTTCAACTAACTAATAAGTAACTAGAACCACATGAATATATTAAGTGTTTCCGGTATAACATTGCAACAATTACAGGTGGAAAAGTGAACATTGACGATTATTTTAACTAAAAATGTATAAAAACTTCAAAAGTACAGTGGATGTACAACCAAGTTAACAAATTAATAATAGACACAAATTCACAAGTAAACTTAATTCAAAAAACAGTAAAGACAGAACTGAGAAGAGCATAAAGTCAAGTGGTTACTGAAGGTTGAACAATAGCCCAATAGATTATGTAAATCCAGTGATAGGGAAAAGTAGGCTGACTTAAAGGGTAAAATTAGCGGAGCTTTGATAATGAGAAAAAATATTCTCAAGTGGATCCTTAAGAATAATGCTATGGAATAAAGACGATCCAGATGCTTTCGACCGTAAGCGGTTGAATTTACAAAATGTAATCAAGTCACATTACTTCTGTATCAATATTATTCTAGCTACATTGAAATTCATAAAAAAATATATCAACTGTATAACACTGTAATTACCTTGTTCAGCTATTTCAATTTCTCTACGCCCAAAAGAAGCTTGACGGATTTTTTGAACACAGAAATCATTGAATCCTCTAGAGTTTACCTATTATGAGAAAGAAAGAGCCTTTTTAACAGAGAAAAAAAACATTCATTTAGAAATTCTTACTTAAATTGAAATTTTTTCCTTTTAACTTTCGTGGAAAGAATAAAATCATATATGTTTAACTTTTGAAGAGAATGTCAATAACAAAGATGTAGTATCGATAACAGAAACCAAGGTCTGAGTGTACAATACCCCTATCGATTAAACTGATAATTCATTAATGATCGGTAGTCAATTTACAAATGACAGTAAGAAGGTAGTATGTAAAGGAAAAATTAGGGAAAAAATGAAACATACAGAACCAAACGATTTATGAAAATATTACGTGACGATTTCTGAAAAAAGCAGTGGCAGTAAGTGATGAAAAGTAGAATCTCTAACATAAAACATGACACTGACACACGAAACTAACGACATCTGATTTCAATTGAGTAAATTGTATGCTTTTTCGTTGAGGCAAGTAAAGAAAACAAAATCGTTAAGTTTGAGTAGCATACTACTTTATACAATTTATCACATGCTTTTATTTGCTTATTTCGAAATTTTGTGAAGCTGAACTATGCGAGTGAGTTTGAGCAACTCTTTAGATGATCTTGGTAATTTTTTTATTTATTCAGGTAATCATTAAAATAGCAAATATAAATGACTGATTTATAATGCTAGGACTAGTTTTTAGGTTAATTTTCTTCACAACTTTTAATAAAAATTCTTTTCAATAGAATTTAATCTCATAATTATATCATCTTTAATTTATCTAACACTAATAAGCCAAGTGATGCACAATCAGTGTAGTGGTAATGGTAATTTATTTTGTCGTATTGAGTAGGCAACGTTATAAAAAGGTAATTAACTGTTTTAAACTTTAAGCATACATCTATTTACAAATGGTGGTTGACTCGATAAAGTAGATTATTATTATTATTTGGACACATGAATATTGGTACAAGAGAGCGCCAATATATATGCGCCACACAGAACAATGAATATTCGAAGAGGAATACAAAGAAAGAAAAAAAAGAAGCTAAGGAGCACAGAAAAAGAGAGAACAATAACGAAGAGATTGGTGTAAGGTAATGTGCTAGTAAACAGGGAACGCAAAGGTACAATCGGAAGAAATCTTTCAGGTAAGGGAGACACAACCACTTTTTATGAAGAAAGTAAAAGAAGGTTACAGCAGGATCGCCATTGGCTTCTATTCTGAGCCATATCTGACAACGTCTCTAGCCACTGTGTAGCACCATCTCTCGGACCCCAACCAGGGAGTCGTGAAGGACCGACAGAAGCCAGTCCTTTGCAGCTTTCTTTCATACCACGACACCATGTCATCCACTGACCACCTCTCCGCTTCTTCCAACCAGTCCCAGAGTCGGCAAATAATGCACGACGTGGAATTCTCTGGGACGACATTCGTAGAACATGTTCAAGCCACCGAAGTCGGTGTTTCAAGATGGTGACACCAATTGAATTATCATCTCTGTGTCCGAACACACGATGCCGAACCTCTGCATTACTGACATGGTGTTGCCACTGAATGTCAGCAATCTTTCGGAGACAGCGATGATCGAACACAGAAAATCGTCTAACGTCCTCAACTCGGAGAGGCCAGGTTTCACAAGCATAGAGCAGAACTGCTCTCACCGACGAGTTGTAGATCCGACCTTTTATAGCCAGACTAACATCACGAAGGCGCCAAAGATGGCCCAGATTGTCATAAGCCGCTCTGGCTTTCACTATTCGTGCATTGATCTCATCACTCACACCCCCACCAGCACTTATGCAGCTACCCAGATACACGAACTTCTCGACTACGTCTATCTGCTCACCATCCAGGGTGAGTACAGGATTAGAATCCTGCCAGTCTTGTAGAAGTACTTTGCACTTCGAAGGTGTAAAACACATACCATACCTACGGACACTGATTGCCAACTGATTAAGTGCGGATTGCATGCCTTGGGCATTATCGCACAATAAGACAATATCGTCCGCATACTCAAGGTCGAGAAGTCTTTCTCCAGGCAACAGATTAACACAGCCATTACTTACACCCATCAGAGCTGTTTCCAGAATGTTATCGATGGCAAAGTTGAAGAGGAATGGTGGGATTGGGCAACCCTGCCTAACCCCACTGCTCGAATGGAACAATGGAGAGAGGTGGTTGTATGCCCTCACTCTGCCTGAGGTGTTTGTGTATAGGGCTTTTAGGATGTTAATAAACTTCTCAGGCACACCCTACTTCAATAGACAATCCCAGAGAACAGTTCTGTCCAACGAATCGAAGGCAGCCCTGATGTCAAGAAACACTACGATCGTTGGCCTTTGATAAGAATGGCGATGTTCTAACATTTGGCGGAGGGTGAAGATATGATCAATACATCCTCGACCAGAACGAAACCCAGCCTGCTCCTCGCGAGTCAATCTTTCTCGAGTTTTGAACAACCTACGAAGTATAACGGAAGCCAATAGCTTGGACGCAATCGGAAGTAGACTTATCCCCCGATAGTTGTTACAGGAACGACGTGAACCCTTTTTAAAGATAGGGACAACTATCGACTCATTCCATGATGTTGGTACACTCTCTAGTTCCCAAACCTTGGTAAACAACGTCGTCAATTCCTTAGTCAAAAAGTCACCACCATCTTTAAAAAGAGCCGGAGGTAAGTCATCTGGGCCAGGTGATTTGTAACGTTTCAAGAGTTGGAGTTCCTTGCGGATCAGATGGTAATCCAACAAAGTTCCGTAAATTTTAGTCGTAATGAAAATGCAACGACAAAAACGAAAACAAATTTGTAAAATTTGCATTTTTTCCGTCAATAATTATATCACCTTTGAATTTTTGAACAACCACCAGGCTATTTCTTATTATCATATTAAACTAACAGAATGAAACATATAAGGTGACATATTTTTACGAAACGTACAGCTCTAAGTCCAGGTTTCAAATAACGTTCCTTTGGATTTTCACGTTGTTGACTTTCTTCATCATCATCATCTGAACTAGATCCAGTATATGATGCTAAATAATAAAAATTAAATGAATAGCTTAGCTTTGATAAACAGAACTGTATAAAATACAACTCTATAACATATTGATAAAAAGCTGATCAGTAAAGCTGAAGAATTTCAAAGTAAACAGATATAATTAACTCAATTATGTTGATCATACCAGGTGAAAGTAATTTCAATATTTAAAAATGATCAACATGATAGTAAAAAAAACTGACTAAATCAATTTCTTTCAACGGTTATTTTTTTTCCCAATTAAGCGGAATAATTTAGTGTACAGTAAACAATTTTAAACTATTGAAAACTAAAGAGATTATTCGAACTGAAACTGGCCCATTTAACGTGCCTTTTAGAAAGACGTGCTTTTTGCTTTTATAATCGTTCAATGAACTCCGCCTGGAGTGACTCCAGGGGCTACTGACGATCCCAAGCCCGGATAAAGGGGGAGGGTTGGACACGGGGTTAGCGACGTCGTCCCGTAGAAAACCAACTCGCTAAAAAACGCTAACCAGAAAAAAATATTAAAACCATTTAAGCACTGTCCTGGGAGTCAGAAGGTCTTCATTTATGACGCCTCATGACGAAAGCCGAGTTCCTTCGGGTTTCACGAGACCGATGCCCCTTCTGACAACCAGAGTAACCATTTATTTAGGTACATTGAATGCTCGTACAATGTGGGACACCGGGAGAGCCTTCCAAATTGCTGCAGAAATGAGGAGATACAACCTGGATGTGCTTGGGATCAATGAAACACATTGGACGCAAGTTGGACAACAACGACTAACTTTAAGGGGGCTTCTGTTATACTCCGGCCATGAAGAAGAAAATGCCCCACATGCACAAGGAGTTGCATTAATGCTGTCTAAACATGCACAAAAAGCACTTATGGACCAAGGAACATCAAAGCCTCCTTCGAAACAAAGAAAGAGGGCATTTCAGTGAACGTCATCCAATGCTATGCACCTACCACTGACTACAATGAAGATGCTAAAGATCAACTCTACGACAGGTTGCAGTCAATCGTCGAGAATTGCCCAACAAAGGACCTGACCATCCTGATGGAATATTTAAATGCCAAGTTCGGGATGGACAACACTGGATATGAAAACATCATGGGACAACATGGACTGAAAGAAAGGAACGAAAATAGTGAGAGATTTGCAAACCTATGTTCCTTCAATTAACTGGTCATAGGCGGCACCATATTCTCACATAAACTCATACACAAAACCACATGAACTTCACCGGATCACACTACACAAAACCAAATCGACCACATCTGCATCAACAAAAAGTACAGGAGGACGATGGAGAAAGTGAAAACCAAGAAAGGAGCTGATATAGCATCAGATCATCACTTGCTGGTCGCCAAGATGAAATTGAAACTCAAGAAGTACAGGACAGTGGGGCGGACAATATCACAAAAGTTCAATAAGGCCTTTCTTCAGGATATTGACAAACTCAACAAATTCATGATAGGTCTCAGCAACAAGTTCCAGGCCTTTCATGATCTACTCAATGGAAAAGGAACTACTGTGGAGAGCAACTGGAAGGGGATCAAAGAGGCAATCACTTCAACATGTCATGAGGGCCTGGGTCACAAGAAGCACCATCACAAGGAATGGATCACTGTTGATACATTGGACAAGATTCAAGAAAGGAGGAACAAGAAGGCAGCAATGAATACCAGCCGAACAAGAGCAGAAAAAACCAAGGCACAAGCTGATACACAAAAGTAAACAAGCAAGTGAAGAGGAACATCAGAACTGACAAACGTAAGTATGTGGAAGATTTAGCAATGACGGCGGAAAAGGTTGCAAGAGAAGGAAACATGAGACAACTGCATGACACAACAAAGAAACTGTCAGGAAATCAGGGTAAACCAGAACGACCAGTGAAAAGCAAGGAAGGCAAGGTAATCACCAACAGTGAAGAACAACAAAACAGGTGGATAGAATACTTCAAAGAACTCTTAAATCGACCAGCCCCACTGAACCCACCCAATATCGAAGCAGCACCCACGGACCTCCCAATCGATGTTGGCCCACCAACAGTTGGAGAAATCAGCATGGCCATCAGTCAAATCGAGTGGCAAAGCAGCAGGGCCAGACAACATTCCAGCAGAGGCACTGAAAGCAGACGTAGCGGTAACTGCAAGGATACTCCACATTCTCCTCAATAAGATTTGGGATGAGGAACAAGTACCAACAGACTAGAAAGAAGGACACCTCATCAAGATACTAAAGAAAGGTGATCTCAGCAAGTGTGATAACTACATGGGTATCACTCTCCTCTCAATACCAGGAAAAGTCTTCAACAGAGTATTGTTAAACAAAATGAAGGAGTCCGTAGACGCCCAAATTTGAAACCAACAGGCAGGATTCCGTAACGATCGATCGTGTACAGACCAAATCGCAACTCCACGGATCATTGTGGAATAATCAATTGAACGGAATTAATCACTTTACATCAACTTCATTGACTACGAAAAAGCATTTGATAGCGTGGACAGAACATCACTATGGAAGCTTCATCGAAACTACGGCGTGCCTCAGAAGATAGTCAATATCATACAGAGTTCATATGACGGATTACACTGCAAAATCGTGCATGGAGGACAGTTGACAAATTCAACCCGCAAACGCAACAACAAATGCAGGAGAAGACAAACAGTGTAGTAGCAGCCTCAGCAGCAGTAGGTCTCAATATACACAAAGGGAAAAGTAAGATTCTCCGATACAACACAGCATGCACCAATCCAATCACAATTGACGGAGAAGATTTGGAAGATGTAAAAACCTTTACATATCTGGGCAGCATCATTGGTGAGTACGGTGGATCTGATGCAGATGTGAAGGCGCGGATCGGTGAAGCAAGAGCAGCATAGTTACGACTGGAGAACATTTTGAACTAAAAACAGCTGTCCACAAGTCAACACCATAGTCAGGATTTTCAATACAAATGTCAAAATAGTTTTACTGTATGGGTCAGAAACCTGGAGAACTACGAAAGCTATCATCTAGAAGATACAAGTGTTTATGAACAGTTGTCTACGCAAAATACTTCAGATCTGTTGGCCAGCCACTATTAGCAACAACCTTCTGTGGGAGAGAACAAATCAGATCCCAGTAGAGGAAGAAATCAGGAAGAAGAGCTGGAAGTGGATAGGACACACATTGAGGAAAGCACCCAACTGCGTCACAAGACAAGCCCTCACAAGGCCAAAGGAAAAGAGGAAGACCAAAGAACACATCACGCCGGGAAATAGAAACAGACATGAGAAGAATGAACAAGAATTGGATGGAACTAGGAAAGAAGGCGGAGGACAGAGTGGGTTGGAGAATGCTGGTCGGCGGCCTATGCTCCATTAGGAGTAACAGGCGTAAGTAAGTAAGCAATAGTTCAATAATAACTCCCTAGGTATTGAAAACTATATGAATAAAACTTATCACTGAATTATTATTAATATTAAATCAAACTCTATTTACTATCACTTAATACTGCATACAGTGAGTGCATCGTAATGTCAAATCATTTATTCTAAAATTAACTTGAGAAACATTGACTCAGCACTAAAAATTGAAGTGTGAAATTGACTTTTAAACATCGCTAACAGTTCACTTATTAACTAAAATATTCTGACTTATATAGTCTAAGTTTTACAGATATGGAAATGAACGGGTATGTTTCATGCTGGAACGAAGAGGACTCAAAGTTTACGAAAAAACAACGAACGAGGATGTGCATCTCTTAAAATCAGTTATTAATTTCCAGATCGATAGTTTAGCATTGAGAACAAGCAAAACAATATCTACAAGAGTGAACTTTTCAAGGGTATTGTGTATTGATCCATTAAAAAATGGCTTTTTAATCACGAATGAAAAACAAGAGTATTTATGTATCTTTGTGTGTGCTATTTTTTTATCTGAAAGCATGAAATCAGGCAATATCGTTACTGCCGTACGATTTAAATTAAAAATATATTCTTATAAACATATTGTTTTCTAAGTATAAATGACGGGAGTTGGGAAAAAATACTGGTTTACAATATACCACAAACCAGTACTTAAAATTGAAGTTTAAAGCTCTATTTCATTATGGGTACATAAAGCTCGATCGGAACGTGTTCTAACGTCACTTCCACTGAAGAGCATACACTTTGCATGAAATGAGAAAGCAATACAACACCTATTAATCCATTACTTATGAACTAATATTCTGTAGATAGATTAACTGACTGATTATTATGGACTAGACGACGTGGTGAATAGAATACAAATTGAATCCGGTTATTCAGTAAAAAAAAGTCATAGTTTATTTAGTACATTGTCAGAAAGTAAACTGTTTTCGATTTCCAAATGTATTTCAAAAAATATTTAGACCTAGTCAATGAACGAGAAATGAATAATATTACATCATTACTGTTATGAAGAATTAAGTGTTTATGATTGATATTCAGATGTAACAAGCTAGACAGTATGATCCACATAAATTTTTTTATAAACAACTACCTACCATAAGCTCAGTTCATTTGAACGAATATGTTTTTTATACAAAATTAGGTTATAACAAGACACACATTAAGAAACACATTACAGTCCAGATGCCGAAATACAAAAATGAACAATATGATACAATTAATAGCGTTTATAAAATTTAATATTTTAAACACAACACTAACGATAATAAAGAAGCGATTCAAAGTAACTGTAACAATTAGATATGAACCTTCATCAAATCAGTAATACAATAGTCAATCTGCTGCAATGTAGGACCAGGCACGTATATGCATCGGCCCATCTTGCCACACCTCATTGGCACAACAGGATGAAAATCACAATCATAAAAGTAGCTATCTCAATGGTATTGATATATAGAAAAAAGAACTGCATATAAGGACATGATACAGAGAGAAAGAATTAGTTCATAGAAAGAAAGGTATAAAGTAAATTTGATCTCATGGTTAAAGGGAGGACAAAAAGTGTATACACCTACACCATTGTGATCGAT